TGCATGTAATATAAAATTAATTAATAATAACTATAATAATTCTTTTTAAATTTAACCCATATTATAATAATTCCACTTAACACAGAATAAAACTTATATAATTATTACTTCTCTATTAAAAATTAGGGGATTGTATTACTATATTTTAAGCAAGTGCTTGACAATGCCCTATATTCTATCTAGAAATAACAATGTAACTTTTTCTTATCATATTATATGTAGCTTATTTGTCCCTGGTTTAAGTGTAGGTTAAAAGTGGACTGGTCACTACATACTTTGATTTAATTAATGTAATGCATTGAACAATTGACGATTTTGAATTGTCAGTTAGGCTAAATTGACATGTTTCGAGAATCTTATCCTAAAAGTAATTAGGTTTTGTCGAGCTAATTAGCAATTTTTTAATTGATTGTTAAAGATATAATTACGATATGTTTTGGAATAGGAATACCAGCACTACCATATATCAGAGAGGATAGAATTTTTGCCGAATATACAGTCAACTTGAATTCAATTAAACATTAAAAAATGGTAAGTAACTATATATTTAATTCAAACATAGTAAAATGAAATATACTATTTATTTTATTTTATTATTCACAACTAGAATAACTCGGTTAGAAGGTGTACCTGCTAACCACAAAATCAAAGGTAAATAGGATTTTATGTTGATTTTATAATCGGCACTCAATAGATTACATTCACTTCTTCTCTGTTCCATTTGCTATCTCGGACAATTCTTTCAAAGTGTTGTTTTTTTTTTTTTTTTCATCATTATTTAATTTGGAGGGTTTGAGATTAAATATGTTTTCCCTGGATAGAATATCTAAACAACCTAAAACTGGTATTTGTCATACGACTCATACACTAAAAAGAGAAGAAATTAGCTAGTGACCCCAAGAGGTTGTCTCAATTCATAAAAAGCTTTAAGTTGATGGAAAGTTTCAAATTTAAATATTAAAACAGGTGAAGAGATATTTAGGAAATTATCAAAAGACTATTTCTATGCTATATAGCTTAGTCATCAGTCATAAGTATAGCCAAAAAGAAGGGAAACACTTAGCTGTGATTCATGACACATACTCCTCTAAGTATTAAAAATGAAATATATATCTTGCGCTGAATCTTGGAAGTTACAGAAAATGGCAAACATTCTTTCTTCTGTTTATGGTGGAAACATAAATTAACTAATATCTTATTTGAGTCATGCAGGAGAAGATCCTAACTATATCTGCACCAACAAATCTCTTAAAATCTCAAAGATTTTTCTTGAGAAAAGTCATGATTATCATTGAACTAGAGACTCCATTTTTAATGAGATCAGGATCTATTGGAATAAGGTAAGTGTATATAAAATATATAAAGTATTTGGGTAGCTTTACGAACCTACATTGTAGAGATTTTCAACTGTTCTAACACCTGAAAAACTTGAGGATGTTTTCTCGGGGAGAACACTTCGATACTTAAGTTAACAATACTTAATATTTTAATAAGAGAAGCTTTTAAGAGTAATTGCAGAAAGAGAAGCGTAGTGGAGTTATTATTTTGAGTGGAGATAAGTGAGGGTATTTATAACCCCTAAGTCATAACATAAGGCTACATGTGTAAATCTGTGATTACCTCATGTGTAGGCATACACGTAAGTATGTCTAGACTAGCGCATGGATGTGTCTTCATTTTGGGTTTAGGAATAAACAACTGGGCCTACTGTACATGGCCCAGGTTGAGTGTTGGCCCATTCCCAACATAAAGAAATTAAGTCAAATAAACATGGTAGGACCTAAAACTTAAGGTACAGATTATACCATATATGCAAATGTTAGGTTTCCCATATATATATATAGAGAAGTTTTTGGTTAAATTGCAGCACAAGTATTGGTGGACTGGTGGTCTTTGGATATCAAATTATCAACTATAGTTTCTACTTTTTAGAAGCATGCTTCTTGATAGGATCCGCATGAGATCTTGAATGGTAGAAGAAAATACTCCATTATTGTTGAGAATCGGTTGAGATTTGGCAGATGGTCTCTTGCTGACAAACATTTTATATATAACTTTATTTTCTTTTCTTTTCTTTTTTCTTTTTTTAATTGTTTTAATGTGGTGATATACATGAAACATCTAAGTTGACAATCTTTATATACAGAGGTTTTGGGAAAGAGATTTGTCCCTTATTGCAGCTCACCATTTTATAGGATTGAGTTTACATTTCACATATACCAGGAAAAAAGGACAGACAAACGGCTAAACCAAGCACATTATAGCAGGAAAATATATAACACCTTAAAAGATCACACTAATATGAAGGCTTAGATAACTTCTAACATGGTGTCAAATTTAGAGTATACCGGAGTTAATATATTATAATGCACCTTGCCATCAGCTGTAGTGCTGGTGAGTGGTGAGCACATTAATGTTGGAATTTGTTCCAGGCTGAGCATTCCCTAGGTAGGTGCTTTGCAGTTTGCTGTCTTGATCTTTTGATAGGAAACTCTGCTGTGGATGCATGTTCTGACAGGGACTTTTGCAAGCACTAATGTTTTCATACAGACTTTGTTGAGCATATAAAAGTCACTAATCCAGATATATATTATTACCTGTACTAGGGAAGAAGAGCACAGATACTAGCAACTGTCTTGTCGCATGTGAATCATGAAAAGTATTTGCAACCATAATCTTGGTCTGTGTCTCTTCCCTAGAGCTTTAATGATGTTCCCACCCTTTCCAAAAATTCCTTGAAGGGCAAAGTATGCCATAGGCAGTTTCAGCAGGACTAGAGCCCCTTGATAATTGTTCTTTTCTAGAATTGCTGTCCCCTTCTCTCTGGAGCTGAGGGTTTCATACTATTGCATAAATACTTAATGTGTAAAATATGCACCTCCCCCAACCTACAAGTATTTGCTCTACTAAAAAAAAGCTACAGTTCTGGTTAAAGACAGTAAGACAAACAGAGGATGATTTGGGAAGGTGGTGGTTTAATTTCTCCGCTGCTTTGGGAAGCAAAGCAACAATGGTGAATTGGTGATCGGTTGAGGCCCATGGGATGGGATTGGGATGCTGAGCACCAGTGTTACAGGGGGAGAGAGAGGCCCATTCGATTTGTCGGCCGGGCCTAATTTTTATTTGAGTTTCATGGGTAACTAGACCAGTGTTGAAATCTGGTTGAAGAGAGTGAGACCAACAGTAGAGCCACCACCTAAATCAGCTTAATTCATTAATCTCAACCCAGCAGATGGTCCTTTTCATCTCTTAATCCATCTTATCCCACCTGCATTATACTTTAAATTCTCATCTACTTGCATGTCCCACCTATATCCATCACACACTCCTTTTCATATCTTTCTTTATCCCACTTATAAGATGCATGACTAAGCTCTACATATCTTATTTCTATTCCAGAGGAAGAAGATTAAAGATAAACATACCAATTTTGCTACATCCAGGGACCACATGCATAAAACAGCTGTTATCCTGAAAAGCACCTGATATTTGTAATACGACATAACAAAAATAAAATTTGTGGTGAGATATGAAAAACTGTCGACTTTCTATTTCTTAAGATATCCACCCTCCATTGCAAAAAAGAATTTCTTTCCCAATAGTACAATGCTCAGCAATGCATAGTTTTTACAAAGCCGACAGATTTAACTTGGACAAGCCAACTCATATTCTGATGCTTCTCTTAAGCCAACATCATGTAGCTATGAACCCAGGCCTTAGCCCAGCTGGGTTGTCCATGGGGCAAAAAATTCACTGGCCTAGTCTAACCATCCCTAGAAAGAATTTCCTTTTTGTAAAAAAAAAGAAAAGTCATGTAGCAACTGTTCCATTAAGTAGAAAATATTTCACTTCACCAGTACCCATTCTAAAATCAGGAGCCAGTTAATTTCGGTGGCCAATGCATCAGAGCCAAAATTTCATTAATTAAAACCCTTTTTTAAAAAACAATTAATGATGAGTAAAGTAAAATTCATGTAATGGTACGTTTCACGTGGTTCACTCTGTAAATTTGCCATTTATATTAATGTAAACGACATTTGTACACCTGTTCATAAAGGCAAAAAACCCAAAACTAAACTAAACTAAACTAAACTTAGAAACATAGAAGTTACAGACCAAAAAAAATAATAATAATAAACGAAAAAACAACTCTTCTACTAAATAAACAGAGCCGAACTGAGCCGCCAAAAACTGGACCCAACATTCCTTGGGCTGCACACCCTCAACTTCAAGCCGGCTACTCCAGTCCCAGCTTCACCTTGCACGTGCTGTCCTCGCACGTTAAGTATCCCTCCACCTTCCTTTTCTTCACTGGCACGACCACGTGATTAGCACGTGAAGCTACAGGCTCAAGTCCCAGCGTCAGGTCCAGTCCAAGCTCAGCCACATCGCGTGCTCTTTCTTTTGGCTTTGTGCCAAACTCCGGCTCGGCTCGGAAAAGAAGGGACGCCTCGGCGGTTTCGACGGAGATCATGCTTTCGGTTTCTTTGCTGTCGCCGTCTACAGCTGCCACCTCGGACTGGTGACTCAGGGACGATTCGTGACTCGACGAACGATTCAACTCAACTGACTCATCGAAAGGCTTCTTAGCTTTCGGCTTAACGGTTCGCTTGACCCGGCACCGAGTCTTGACCCGGTTGAGATCGTTGGAAGCGGCAGAGTTCTCGTCTTTCGAAACGTGACGAATGTCGTACGCCTTAAGCGGAGGACACTGGCCGTTGGCCGCTGCTTCAGATGCAATCGGCGTGATCGGTGTGCCTTTTAGCACTGCCTCAACAGCTGCTTGGCAGAGTTGCCAGCTCCCGGACCACAACAACCCGACCGACCCGTAAATCGGATTCACTATCCGGCCACATGCCTCATACAACAAAGACCGAAATATCGCTGAAAAAAAGGAAATAACAAAAAAAAAAAAAAAAACCCATCACTTCCCCGTTCCAGCACGCCAGGAGAAAGCTTAAAGAATCGAGAAAAGCTTATGAGACTAACCAGGGCGGAGGTGCTCGGGGCCGGCGTTGATAAGGTTCATGAGCCCGGCACGGCCGTAGAACTTGGCGAGGAAAACAGTGGCGTTTGCTTGTGACTCCGGGCTTTTGATCCACTGCAAGCAAGGTCTGATGCTACAATTCTCACTACAACCTTTGCGGAGGACTCGACAACCATTACAGCTCATCCTCATTTTGACGAAGCAGGAAATGGAAGGGAAAGAAGAGAAGGAGAGGAAAAGGGAAAACGAGAGAATCGTGTTGTTTGGGTTGGGGGAAAAGAGGAAGCAGGTGGGTATTTAAGCGAAAATACGGCAACAAGGAGTAAGAGAAATTAGGAAATGTATTTTCCCTTTTTTGTTGGCCGCTTGGTTTTGTGAGGAGAACGCAGTTGTTTTTACATCCAAACACCGGTTTCCACGTTCAAGGAAGTGAAGATTAAGAGATAAAAAATAAAATAAAAAGATATTAAATTTTAAATGTTACACCAGGCGCATCTCGGGCGCGTGTATTTCGACTCCCAATCCCTCAATCCTATTCGGACTCCTGATTGGAAGCGTATCTCGTAGGCTGCCACATCCGCCCGCGGAACATTAAAGTGTCGCTGTACAAATTGAGGTCCTGTTTCAGTAACCGATGCAAATGGGTTTGGATTTTATTTTGGAACCAAATTGCCCCTGGATGGTTCCAGAAATTACTAGCTCTTAGATGGTGGTTCCAGAATATTGTTGAGGGTAAAATGAGGAATGAAGGGAAGTGGGACAGAGAGAAGACAGCTGGAGAAGGGGTTAAGAGCGGCATGCAAATGGGTACAAATATTGAGGGGGGAAGAGCGCAGCGCGTGGCAGCCACGTTAAGGTGCCAGGGTTCGGTCGAATCGCCACATATCAGGGGGGCCATGAACGTGGGTCATCCCAGCTCTTGGTATTTTTTTTTTTTTTTCTAAAAAAGAAATAAAATAAAATAAAAAGCTCCTGGTTTTCGGGAAGTTAAGTTCAAAACCGCTTTTAAAAAAACCGGGGACTGGTTTCCGGATTTGGATGGTGGGTGTGGGCGCACTAGAAGTCCCCAGTAGCCAACGGTTTTAGCTTTGGAGGGCCTTTTTCTGTTTTCCATTTGTAGTTTAATCTAAGTGTAATGCTTATCCTCCAAAACAGTGGATTAAGGGTTTTATTTTTAAAAAATGATTTAGAGATAATTTTTTTATATAATTTTACATATTATTTAAATAATTATTTTATTTCTTTAAAATATAAATATATATTTATTTAATATCATATAAAAATTTTATTAAAAAATTTAAAAAATTATTTTTATAACACTACCTTGTCTTTAATGACTGATTTGCTTAATACCAACAGAACTCATACAGTTATAATTTTATCTCCTCAGCAAAATCAAATCAGATACTCCTAATACATTTTGATTTATGTGTTTTGCTGAGCGAAGAAAATAGATGGGACATATAACATATATACAGGGCAAAAACACTTCTTAAGCCCTTAGACTTATCCCCAATTAATATTTAAACTCTTAAACTAAAAATGAAATAGATAGACATTTTAACTCCACTGACAATGCAAATAAACTTTTCTTACAAATGAGCCAAATGATATTTCATGTTTAATATCACCTTGAAAGTATGAATACCCGTAAAAAAGAATGACTTATTTGCATTATTGGCAAAGTTGAAGAGTTTATTTGCTTCATTTTTATTTTAGAAATTTAAATCCTATTTTGGGATAAGTCTAAGGGCTTAAGAAGGGTTTTTGCATATATACAGCCTCCCATGTACGGTGTAATGTAACCGTAGATATTATTTTAATAGGTTTGTCTAACTTATATTTTAAAATATAATAAATGTATTTTTTAAAATAATTATTATGTTTTTACTTTTTAAATTAAAAACTTAGAGATAATTATGTATTTATCTATATTATACTTAAGAAAAAAAACTAAAAAAAAAAGATAAAGAGATTCTTTTTTATAATATGATAATTAACTAAAATAAATGATAATGATAAAGTTAAATTAGAAAAAAAAATATTTGTTTATCTATAAAAATAAAAAAATGACAATTAGTTTAGAACAAACTCAAAATAAAAAAAAAATGTTCATCTAACCTGTACCCTTAAAGCACATGTTAAGAATATTTTTTTTAACATTAATTGTCATTGAAAAATAAAATTTAACATTTATTTAATTAACCGACCAATTAAAACAATATATGTAGCATTAATGATAAAATTTATATTAATTTTTGTTATTTTTTATACTAATTAATATCAAAAAGATATATTAATTACAAATAAATCCTGAAAAAATGACAACTATTTTAAAATCGAAGGAATAACTTGTTATAATTAATTCATCTAAAAATTGGAAAAAGTTAATTTTTATTTAATATTACTAATAAGTGAATGATTTTAGTTGATTAATTAATTAAATTAAAATCAACATTTATACTTTTAACATGAATTAATTAAAAAAATACATTAATTATATTCTTAACATATACCCTACAACCACAGTTTACAGCTTAAAAAACCTTATTTTAAATTATACAATCTTAAATCATTTCACTCACACATTAACCTAAACTCAAAATCAATTTTCAGTTGCAGAAATTATTGCCAAACTATTTAGCCCACTGCCGTATGTTTCTTAATACTACTAAAAGCCAAACCATGTACAAAACAATAATTTCAACTACTCGTTTATAGCAATTATTTCTCCCTATATACACTATTTTCCGATGGAGGGACGAACAAGGAGAATTCGGAAGATAAATGACTCTCATCTTCAGCATCACATGTAACTTATAATTCTCCTTATTAACACCAAAAACGTTTGTTATAAAACTATACTTGCATTAATTTTCTAATTGGATTTTGACCTTTTTTAATTAGAATAGTACAATATTAATTTTATTCCTATCATTTCACGAACAACCTTGTAATTGAACCCCGACCCTCTCTTTGATTATGATGGATACCTCTTTTGAATGTCATTATTGGGCATCACTTGTTTCAATATTACATAATTTAAGTCCTTCTCTTCCTTTTTTAGTAATACAATTTGCACAATCTAGTTGTGAATTGTGAAATTGCAAATTCAATTATTCTTATATTGGCTGTGGCTGAACCCCACAAAACCACAAAGGGTTTCCATCAGTCCCCCTTCTTTTTTTTTTTTTTGGTGTCTGCATTTTGACCTTTGAGGAGAGAATATATATTAGAGGGTGCATGGCGCATTTTTAATTTTGATTCCTCTTGTCCAATTTTGTATCTATTAGAAGAGAAATTATATGCGGGAGGAGTTAGCATCAAGTATATTCTTTTTCATATCAATACATCAAAAATATTAAAATCCACTCACTAAACTACAAATTATATGAAGTTAAAAAAAAAAAAAAAACTTTATGAGACATTGCACTAGAATGTAGGGCTTAAACTGTGCTAAGACTTCCAAATTTAGCACCAAACTATAAACTTTATCAAAATTTGCCAAAAAAAAAAACCCAATTACGGATTCAAAATAAGTGCATTTCGGACTTAAAACTTGGGAATGATAAGCCACACAAATTAATTTTTGAAAATTTTCTTTTAAAACATTAACTATATTTAATTTAATTGTTACAAATAGAAAGTAATTATACCTATTAATTAGTTGATAAATAATAAAATAATTAGTATTTATTAATTAATAAATCAAAATCAATTACACATTTTTTTTTTAAAATCAAATATAACTGGTTGTTTAAAAAAAATTTATGTAAACCCAGAATTTCATACATGGCCTGAAGCACGTCCTAAACCTTGGAAGATAAACTTCAAACTTCCTAGAGGACAAGGGGCTGCAATAGAATTTACAGAATCCTTGAAACCTGGTAGGCTTCCCTTATGTACCAAATTACATACTCTTAGGATGCGTATATATGTTGTAGCCTTTCAGAGTTTCAAAGGGATGTTATTGTCCTTGAAAAGTATTGTCCTTTTGTTCCACAATTGTACTACCTGAGTGTTTAGTTGAGTAAATCCCTAACTAATTTACCATGATTGAATCATTGAGTTAAAAAGACTAAAAGATAAAATTTTCAAATAAGTTGGGGTTAATACACACAAAAGAAGAAAAAAAAAACTATTGTCCAATCTAAATTACACTAAATTGCATAAAACAAACCTTTGAATGAGAGGTGAAGCAATCCCTTCAACTTTTAGAATTGTTTTTTCATTCAACAATCCTTAATTATTTTACATCTGGACGATAAAATAATAAACCAAACATGAATAATTCTAAAATAAAGAGGGTAATAATACTTTTCAAAAGGCAATAATTATGATCACACAAGCATTTGTTAAGGTTACTCAATTTGTTGGTTTGGTTTTTATCTTAATTTGATTATTATAAATAGTTAATAATTGATAAAATAATTAATATTTATTATTTAATATGTTAAAATTAATTTATAAAAAAATATTTTTAGATATTATAATTAAATATTTAATAAAAAATAATTAATATATATAATCATAACTAAATCTAGATGAAATAGTTTCTCTTAAAAAGAACCAAACACGGCCTAGCGTGACAAACACCGTAAGGATACCCTCTGAAACGTAAGGGGACAAGTGGAACGGAATTAGCAGAAAGTTGATGAGGGCACACCATGCAGTGAAGTCCAAAAGTCATGCAAAATGTGGAGGCAGCGCCTGACTGCCACGTCTGCATGCGTTAGCGTGGGGCCCAATACCACTTGGGTTACACCTTAACATCCCCACGACACGACTCGTCAGCTCCAGGTTTTTAGGAATCCACAAAACCTGGTATTGCTAACTCCTAAATACCGCTCTCTTTTTTCCCTTTTTTTTTTGAAAACCGGTGGCTGGTTTCCCCCCGTTTTGGGTGTGCTTCCTATTTTTCTTAAATTAGATAATGGACCGACAAACACGTTCTTCTACTCCGTACTTAATTAATCCAATAGTTTATGTTCCATTCCGTGTCGAAAATTTCGGTCACATGTACCAACCAAAACATTTTGGATACTCTTTTTTTTTTTTTAATAAGAAATATGGAGAATAAATTTTTTTTAAGTTATTGATAAAAATTAAATTTTTATCAATTAAATTCAAATATTAAAAATTAAAGATGTATTATTGAATTCGAGGATCTGATTTTATTTTGAACACATTTTTACAATCCAAACAAAAGACCAAATAAATAGATTGAAACAAGATAATATTTTAAAATTTTATTTAAGAAAAATTAATTATTGTTGATATTAATTATTAAATTTTGATAAATTTTTTAAGATAAAATTTTAAGATGGTGATTTATTTTTATTAAAAAAATATTGAAAGAGAATTAGCACTTTCTACGAAATTAATCCAATTTAGGGTTTCCTCATTATTTAAACAAATAGATTCCAAAAGCTTAAAAATAAAACTACTAGACATAGATAAAAAATGAAGTCCACAATTCGAATTAATCAAATTGTTAATTTTTAAGTATAAATCACAACAGTCCATCTCGCCTTTTCGGTGCCATGACTTAATTTAATTTTGGTGCGCTTTACAATCATTACGCTCGGATCTGAATTCAAAGGAAAGAATAATAAATTATTCTGATTATTGGTTTTTTTTTTTTAACTTATTTATAAGAAACGAGGTCGGACCCAAACCCAAGCGGGAGGAAGAAGGAGTGTATTTTTTTTTTTTAATATGGTTAATGTCATTAGGCGTGAAGAGTAGGCGTGAAGAGTAACATCGAGTCTTTCGGGTCAAGTGGCAAAAGTTACTCACGGTGCATTTTCCCATCCCTAGGCTGGAGTTCGAACTCAGTCTTGTAAAATCTGTTCAAAAAAAAAAAAAATTAGGCATGAAAAGTAGGTGCTTGATTATTGGCCATTTTATTTTGAAGATGCATGAACTACCTATGGAATTCTCACCAAGACAACAACTACTACCATATCCCCTTTTCTTTTCTTCTCTTTCTTTTTTTTATTTTTTTATTTTTTTTAATGAATCAAAATTTTAGGTAGTTTTAGAATTTATAAAAGGTATTCCAATCAATATACCATCTTAAGTTTTTTTTTTATTCTTTTTTATTTTTATTTTTTGAGAGCAGGCAACACTTCTTATTCTTTTTTTTATTCATTAAGTTATGGGAGAAGTGATCATCTTGAACTAGTCGTGTTTGTGACAAGAGCGACCACCGTTTAATAAATATGCTTAATGAAATCACAAAAAATGTGATCTATATTTTAAAGAATTATTACTTCATCCGTTTATTTTTAATATAGTTAATTTGATTTTTTTATTTTTTAAACAAAAATTCAAAATAAAAAAATTAACAACTTATATGAATAATATTTTTTAAAAAATTTTATATGTATTTATTTTTTGAGTATTTTTTATTTAATGAAGAGATTAATTATCATTATATAGTATG